AAAATTCAGTATATTGAGTTAATACAGCGTCATTGAGTTAATGCAGTATATATTGCACTGATTTATAAGAATACAATTGAATATTTAATGGAAAATAATATATTTCTAAGCTAACGATGTGTTTGTCAAAGACATGAAAGAATAAGTCTGTTCTTTGACTTGCTTTTGAACTCTCTTATCTTTCATTTATTTTTTAGTTGTTCTATGAATTACATGTTAAAGTTTGGTTATTAAAGGTATGTGGGGGGAGGTATTGGAAGTAAGATATACAAATCTAATTTGTCTACACCAGAATTTTGAGATTGTGTATTTGTATATTTTCTTAGGTATCTTGATGATCACGCAAGATTTTACAGGCAAACAATAATACTGGGTTTTTATTCAAATCCAGGTGATGATCCTTGCTTCTTGTAGTGATGTCTTTTGAGAGCAAATTTGCATTATTCTGTTTGCCTTTACCTTTTATAGAGGAAGCCAGATCTCTTGAGCTTATGGATTTACAACTTTGTACCTTTCTTATTCTGTTCAATAATAGGATGTTAGTTTCTAGAAAAATGTATTGTTTTTATTTATTTGTTTCACAAGGTCATCCATCCTGCCCTTTTGCGTGAATAATTTTGGGTATTTGTGTTTACATTACAATTATCATAATAATCATGTTTTTAATCACATTGGCGAAATTTTGATTTTTTAATTTTCCTTTTCTGAAATTGTTAAACTTATGCTGCATTGCACCTTCATATATGGGGTGCCAAGTTATGCCTTTCCCATTCAATCCTTTTTTTTGTGAACATTTGAAACATAGCCAAGTCTATTATAATCTTTGCATTTCCTTGTTGCAGATATAAATGCTTCATTCAATCATCAGTGTGTTAATTATGAAGGGAAGGTATGTAACATATATAGTTTCACTGCCTATCTTTTTCATAGGTTCAAGGTTTTTGCACTGTTTTACCATGCAATTTCCTTACAGCACTGGATTTTAGCAGAACTGCAATTCGTCGTTGATGGCTTTTGCTTTCCAGCCTTTTACTATATGGTGGATATGGCAGAGATTGGCCATCTTACACGATTGAATTTCATCTTATTTTTTTCATTTTTTAAATTGCAATACTTTAGGGATTTAGTAATTGGAAGCTGCACCCAATATTTTATGGGATAGGGATTATGTACTTGAATAGCAATATTTCATCTATTCTTTATTGTTTCATTTTATTTCAGTTTGGCTTTTTCAATTTTATTTTTGAGTGTGTATCCTCTTCACTCAGTTTTCTGTTTGTGAACAGTTTTTATCTGTCATATTTGCCTTTATCATCCTTTTCTACACAACCTTCATTATTTATTTATTTATTTCAATCTTATTTTCATTGTCAGTTCTAATTTCAATTTGTTCGGTCTTTGTTTCCTGATTGTCAATGCTTTTGCATCCCTGTTGACAATTTTCGAGAATTATGAATGTGCAATCCTTTATGTACATTTTAAAACTTTTTTTTTTCTAAATGCAATACACACGCACACAGTTTTGCTTTTCAGTGGCATCATGATCAGCCATAGGGCTAGTCAATTTTTGTTTGTGTGGTAATGGGCTGCTATTTTTTATTGGTAGCCTTCACCTTGGAGGGCTTAAAGTTAAAGATGCATCATGACTGAAAAGTTCTCAATCTTTCAGACTTATTTAACGATAATCAAAATATGTGCATGCATGTGTCTCTGAGTCTTCCCTCTCTGAGGAAATTACACGAAAGCTAATGTTTGTTTTTAATTTTTAAATATTCTAGTCATCAGTACCTCTATTTGATATCTGCAGGTGAAACTGATGTGTGAATACAAAGGTGTCTTACACAAAGTGCTACCGGAAATAAGACAAGTAATCTTTTCCAGTATTTCTGGCTGCTTGAATAAATATTCTGCGTTTTGGTCATATACAATTGTGATGCAACTTAGGTCTAGTTGATGCCTGGTTTTTCAGAAAGGAAGGAAGCGGATCGATCTTTCTTAGTCTAATTGGCAATGTTATTGCACTTCAATTACCTTGGATTTTATTACTAGATAGTATATGGGAAAAGTATTCGTTCTTTTTTATTACTAGACAGTACATAAGCAAAACAAGTCAGTTATATAATATTATCTTCCTTGCTATACACATTTTATTGTTGTTATATACTTTCTGTAAATAATTAAAAATTAAGTAATATTTTTGAAGATGGTTTATTTCGTCTGTAAATCTTTAGGAATGACTGTAATATCATTGCTTTACAAAATTAGCATGTTTTAATGGATGTTCAATAATTCAAAGAGTAGGGTGCTAACATACTCTTGTTTCTAGGATCTGGGAACAAACTAACTGGTCTTCTTTTCATGATTATTTAATTTAATATACTAACGTTGCATAATTTCTATTTCTTCTTGATTATTGTGGTCAGACAATTTATTTTTTGTGTAGTGTCATCAATTTATATTCTGATTTATTACTATGGGTTTGTGCGTCACTCTAATATTGAGCTAACACATCATTTACATTTTGAACAATGTAGATTTACGAACGATTTGATGTAGACTCAATAGTAGAAGCTGATGATGCCCGTTTTGATTATTTTATTACAAAGGTATGCATTTTGGATTTTGAAAATATTGATATGTTGAATTGGTTTTGAAGAACTATCTATCCATACTCTGAGAATTTGATGTCTTTGATGTTCTTTTTTGAATAACTTGGCTCAAGCCAGATTTCAAATGACCATTGTAACACTTTAGAAAGATACACAATAATATAGAATGAATTTGAGAGAGTGCATTCTCCTCTTCTGAAGTTTCATATTTATAATAACTTGGGATACATCATTTTAGAATAATTACTTCTATGTATCATCATTAAGCCTAAGTAGGGTGTAGTGTGCTAGACAATTTATTAGTTGTACCTAGTTCTGCACCTAGGTACCTAGTGCAGTAGTCCCTTAATATATAGATAGAAGATTGTGAGAGGGATCTCTTAGCCCGCTAAAAATATATTTTTCTGTTTTAATCATCAGATACAATGTATGAGAGGGAAAAGAAGAGAATTGGAAAAGATAAATCTAGGAATTAGGTCTCTAGCACAAAGTACATAGTATTTACAATAAATCCTATTGAACAATAGTTATTCTATCAGTAACCTATAACTGTGAAAACATTGCTCAAATAAGCCTGTATGCTAAACTGTAATATGGATTTCCATTGTCACTGAAATTGTGTGGTGTTAAGAAGCTGCTGCCTATTGCAGACTATTTATTCTAACAGTAACCTATAAGTGAAAACCATTGCTCAAATAAGCCTGAATGCCAAACTATAATATGGATTTCCATTGTTACTAAAATTTGTGGTGCTAAGAAGCCACTGTCTGGGTTTAGTCTCCCTGATGTCTAATAAAAATATTTTTGCCACATGCCATTCTCATTTAATACTCATTCTAGTTCATTTTGACCCAAATATGTTCTTTCTTCTACCATTACTTTTAGAAGCAGTAGGAATGTTTATAATCTGAGCTTTTTAACTAAATCTTAGGATTCCATTTATCAAACAATAGCAATGAACTGATTTTGTCCTTGAATGATTATTTATGAATTCTTGTGCTAGTAGTTATTAGGCCATATTAGAATAGGGTAAGAGCAGTTCTTGTCAGTTAATAATGCAGTTTTAACAAGTCAAGTAATAAAATGAGATAAATACAATATAGCAAAAAAATGGTTTTACTTTTCATTGCGATTGTCTGTGTAATTATCGACGTTAGAGGAATATTGCTTATTATCCCTCATTGAATGAAAAGTAGTTTAATCATTCTTGCTTAGGACTGCTCTACCTTGTTTGTGTTTAGTAATGATGCATCTGTATCAATTACTAATGCATACCTTGTAGAAGTCTTGTCTATTTTATGCATATCCTTTTACTACGTTGTGATAAAAATTTTCCTGTTCAATTTCTTTAAATAGGCACCTTAGGATGGTCCAAGCGGTATAACCATTATGTGCTTGTTATTATACATTTTTTTGACAATTGGATCATATAATTAACAATAAATAATTCTTGTCTTCCAGGTTTTCCCCAGAATAAAAGATTTAGATCAGGTAACTTTTAGTTAAGCTTTCACACTTTTTCTATATTTTATGCATGAGATAATTTAAATTGATACACTAACATATTGGTTTTCTTTGATGTGATCTTTGATGCAGGGAGGGACAATGTTATTTACCAGTTCTTACTTTGAATTTATTCGACTCCGTAATTTCTTAAAGTCAAAGAATGCCTCCTTTTGTTTGCTGGGGGAGTAAGGATCCATTTCCGTAGCCATTGTGTTGTTTGTTTTAAATATTATTTAATATGTCAGTAGTTTTTTTTTTCCAAGTTCCTAGTAGTTCTTGTGTTGATGACTGGTCGTTTTTTGTTAATTTAGGTATACAACCCAAAGTGATATCTCTCGTGCACGTCTTTGGTTCTATGAAGGAAGTAGAAAAGTGATGCTTTACACTGAGAGATCTCATTTTTACCACAGATATAAGGTTGCATGGATGGAATGATTTATTTTTCCCTCTCCCTCCTTCTCTTCCTTGTCATTTTTTTTCCGGCCCCTGATTATTTTTATATATGTTTTGTGAAAAAATAAAAGTGACATCTTGTGGCGGTTTTAAAAGTTCATGGTATGCAGTAAGTAACATACATGCTGAAGAGTTAAACATCTAATCCTGAAACTGACAGTTTGTGTTCTTTTTGTCCTCGAAATTTTTGTCCATACAAATTGGTCTCGAGAGATGAAACAGGCCACTTTTTGTGGACATGCACTGTCGAGGTTGAAAGCAACCAATCTTTCCGGAACCAAAATTTTTTTAGTATCGGTTGAATTTGAAGTTATAGAAATAAAAAAAGGTTGTCAAACTCTTCCGTTAACTCTTAAACTCTTACGAGTTTATTATCCAAACTGAGAGACAGGTTAAATAGTAAACTTGTGAACTCACTTGAAATCTCGAGTTAAAAAAGAAATAAACGAGTTTCTAATTGAATGTAATTGTTGTTCCACTTTTATTGAACAATGACAGTATTTTCTTAGACTGATATTATTTGAAAAATTAATTTCCTTTTGAATTCTTTTCACATAAAGAATTAATGCTTTTATAATTTATATGATTTATTTCATTTATGTAGATTGATCTTATTTAGTTCGAATGTTTTATGACACTTTATGATTGTAATTTGATACCCATTTTTATTATGACGTGGAAAAATTGGATTATTATTGTTTCAAAAGTTTTATGTTATGCATATATGTCATTGATAAATTTGTTAATATTATTTTTATATTAAGTAAGCTCTTATGAGTTGAATCTACGAGTTAAATTTATGAAGGCTTCATTAGTCTATGAAAATTCTGACAATCTTAATTAGAATAATGAACAATTACAATCAGTTGCATTCATACTAGGTCTTTTGGTTGTGCCGAGTGTTTGGGTTGTGTAATTTCCCTGTTATCCAAGCTAGATTCCTTATTATGAATAGAAAACACTAAAGACTGAAGTGTACATGATATAGACCGAAGTTTTTACTCTTATGGGGGTCTATCCTCTGCTTTTATATTTTTATTGATACTAAATAATTAGTTTGTTTCTTGATTGCAGATTCGAGGGGTTCAGAATTTAATCATTTATTCCCTTCCAGAGAGGAAGGAATTTTACCCTGAGGTAAGCTGGCTTGTAAAATCAGATACTTTTTTGGTTTTGACTAAAAGAGTTCACTAAGGGTATAAAAGTGATGAAAAAGTAATTCTCTTATGGCTACTTAAATGAATGAAATTGAGAAAATAGATCAGTTCAAAAGAACATTCCTGTTCTATTGCATGGTCAGCCTTGGAAAACTGAAAAATCCAACATGCAAAGCCTCCTATGGTAGCTAAGGAAACAAACCTGTCCATAAATAAATTTATGGCTAAAATTTTGGAATTTTTCTCCAGTACAGTCAGCAGACTTTAAAAGGCACAACCATAAAAGCCCTCTTCAGTTTATTATTCTTCAACTGTCTCTATAACATGCATTTCATCAAATTCGTATTCATGGTTTAGCCTGAACAATTTAAGAAAATAAGGAATTATTTTATTGATAAGAATCAATCCAATCACTTTCTGATCATCTCTATATGTTAATATAAAAACCTTTAAAGAAAGGAAATACAAATATGTTGAATTTAATAGGAGGATTCTGCATACATTTTTTCCTAATTACTATGGAGAAATTGGAAACATTTTTATAATAATAATCTTCTCTTTAGAACCTTTTTTTTTGTTTTCTATAATTGCATAAAACAGAAACATAATGTAGATTATTAAGCCTTCTTTCATTGCTATCCTTTTGCTATTGCAGATTGTGAATATGCTTGATGGGTCTAACAATATGACTTGTACTGTCCTTTTTTCCTGCCTTGACAAGCTTCGGGTAATAATATTCTCTTTGTTGCCTCTTTGTACTGTTACTTGCTAGAGTTTGGTTTGTGTGGGTTTATATGCAGTTGAGTAAAAAGTAGAACGGGAGATGTAAATGTAGAGATTGAGATTTGATGGCTTTGTATATTATTGCTTCCTAATTTGTTTTACTGCTACATTGTTCATTTGATTATGCCTATAGATATATTGTGTATGTGTACACTGCTAGTCCTGCTATCTTGTTTCCTTTTTTGCGTCTCTCTCGTCACAATAATTACTTCTTTCCTTTATGTATTACATTTCAGCTTGAAAGAATTGTTGGCACTACTCCAGCCAAAAGGATGGTGGCTGCGGAGAAGGGTGTTTTTGTTTTCTGCCACTAGAATTCTGCCTGGGAAGCCATGCAAAATAGTTTTTGGGTCCGTGGTGATGGCATCATGTATTAGTATGTTACTCTTGAAAATTATTGTAACACGAGCATGACTGGAAAATTGGTTTTTCGAGGTAGAATGGAGGGACACTACTCGACAACAACATTCATGGAGAAAAATCCTGAGTTGGTTTTGTATATTAGTGTTGATTTAACAGTTAAATGTATCAGAGGCAATTTTTATGAACAAATTATACCATAGATTGAATTAGGAATTTCTAAGAAACATTGAGCCAAGATTTTGAAGTTAAATGTAAACTCTACCTTTTAGTGTTAGTTTTATACAAGGAATGTTGAATTTAGCAACCTCTGAATTGCATATGCTTTTGCAAACCATTATAAGAGATTACGTATTTAACATCTCTGAATAACCCCCCGCTTGTTAGTGACATTCATGACACTTTTTCTCGGTGAAGTGCAAGGAGCCTTAGTTAAATCAAAAGCCTCTAGGAAAAGCAACACCTGAAGAATCATCTAACAGATGCAAGAGACAGAGATGGAAAGGGTGGAGAATTCTGAAAAATGTGAAAGGTGATTTGAATACAGTACGAGGAAAATGTACTATTTCAAACGAGGAAAATATATAATCAGTAGATTTCATACGGTGTATACTCTACTAATAGCTACATTCACCTTGAATCTATTCCAACACCTCCGTAATTTCAACTGCACCTCCATAAATTTTTATTTTTCTTTTCTAAGATATAAATAAAAAATACATTCTAAATTATATAATCTGAAATATAAATTCATTTACAAATAAGAATTATGTATATTATCATTGATTAAAACTTTCCTCTTTTATAAAGTCACTTATAATTATGTATATTATCATTTTCTTTTAAATTTTTATTTATATTTATTATTATAATGTAAATATACTATTTAATTACTAATTTTGGCACCTGCTTATCTTCAAAATACTTATTTATCAATCTTTTGAATAATATTTTTTTAGAGAATAATAGTAAATATAAATAAATTTTGAAATAAAATAATTGTGTAACAATAATATTTGGTTTAAAATGCAATAATATTTGAGCTTTCTTGTCCGAAAACCTGTTTCTGCCTCTGTTACTCTGCAGGAGCGTTGGATGAATGTCATGGTTTTCTTATGTTTTCTCTTTTAACTATTTGTCAACTGAGCTTAAACTCTGAATAAAATTTGTTGTAGGCAACAGTTATTTCTTAACCAAACTTAATTATAAACAAAAATCACAAGTTGTTCACTTAAAACAAGCAAAAATATACTCACTATATTGGATGTATAATAAATGTATTGAATGTAAAAGTAGGACCCAATACTTGAAGTGAGAATAATTAAATGAAATATAAATCAAATTAGTAGGTAAAATTAATTTTACATCGTCATTGCTTTAACTTAAAAAAGTTTACATAGTCAATACAAGCCACCTTTTTTTTCCAAGTAACCAAATCTAGTTTTTATTTCCTCTTGCAAATTTTTCATTCGTGTGCTAATTATTATTATTATTTCTTTGTAATTAATTTATTCATTTACCAAAACATGAGATATTCCACAAAAATACACTTCATTTGCCATCCGAAACTTTGTAGAAGGATGTTCTTTACAAAATGTGGCTCACATATTCATAATATAAACTTACATACTCGTACTATAAATTTACATATTCGGAATACAAATTTGGAAGTCTAACATAGAAGTCGAAATTTTTTAATAAAGAATAAGTAAATCAATTTCAGTAAAAGACTATGAAGGTGCAGGAAGAAAACATGGGACAAAGAAGAAATTTCCTTTATGAAATTTAATTAATAAGACAGATAGTTAAGTGCAAGGAGAGAGAAGGTTTAGAAAGAAATAACACTGTACACCAGGGATCCATGGAAGAGTTTAAAGTTTAGCTGATAAATGATTAAAATATTCATGGGCTGAAGAAGCATCAATTCCACCATTTCATTGCAGTCATAGTGAGGGAATCCACTCCCCCAAACAATTTAATCAGCCAGAGTAGTAAAAAAAACGCCAACCAATTTAATCATTCTCAACTAAAACATACATGCATCCATCACAAGGATAAGGTGCTAAAGTGACATGCACTAGTTCAGTTCTAGAACCCTAGAATACCTGTATCTCAAGAAAACCACACGCTAAGCACGAAAGAAACAGCAACTTATACATAAGGAAGGGAAGGGTTTCCTTCCAAATAATTATACTCAAATAACATTTTGAAGCAATTATTTTGAATGGCATAATTACAGCGTTTAAAAAAGTATAGTTGTATATACTAATATCTCCTGAGGCCATCAATGTGGAAGCTATATCAAGGCGCAGGCATGAATTGCGGAGTATAAACAACAGGAACCTATCAATGTCTCAGCTATTTCCTGTGACCAAAGAACATATGTTGAAGCTGTGGGTTTTGCACGTCACAGTCGCATTGAAGATCCACGGCTTCATCTCTCTTCTCATCATGAGCCAGGTGTTTGATTCTCTAACAGTAAAAAGTATATGGTAAGAAAGCATACAGGGAAAAAATAAGTATGGGCAGTCAGCATGATCCAGGCAGTGGGTAATTTCTTCATTTAATATTTTATTTATTTCTCGAGATAGGGTGATTTATGCATTTGGACCCCAAACAATGACTTGTTATTATCAATTCAAGTAAACCCATTTGTTCCGTATGAATTTCTAAACTGTGCTTGGTTAAGTAGGTGGACAGTGAGGTACAGGAAAAATACAGAACTAGAATGAAAATGATTTTCAGTAAGTATTAAAAGAAAATTGCTTCCTTATAAATTGAATTTAAATCTAACTCATCCCCAAACTAGCTCACTAGATAAGAGTTGCCATACGTATACATACACTATTTTGGTCACAGTTAATATGAGATTTTTAATACACCTTACCTACCCGTAGTTAAGGATAGTACATTCTGGTGACGAAAGACTTGATAAGCTCACCAAATACTACGAAATAGACTTCAATAACTGCTTAGAACATTCTGGTATCGATGACCTGATAAGCTCAACCATGAGATGAGGCATTGCCTCCACACTTTTATATACACCATTTTAACCAACATTTTCCATCCCATACATTTATTCAACCAAAAAGTGTGCAGAAGTTTGCATTCAAACTGATCTGTATTTTCAACCCATTCAACCTAATAGGGTACTATTCCGAATGTTAGGCATCAGTTATTAATTCTGTTACAAAGTTGAATGATAATGTTATACATTTAGGTCAGTTAAAAATCTGGCTCAGATGCCAAAATAGTCGTACTCTAATCTCTTACTTCTTGAAGCAAGTTCATTTAATTAAGTTGTTTCCGTTATTAGCAGGCTTTAGCAGGCTTAGAAAGCGATCCCCAATTTCTTTCACTCGCACAGTTGTACAACAAAGCTCCTATTAAGAAAGGAGATCACAGTAGATAACTGTATCATGGTATTGATAAGTTGGCTTTCCAACACTCCCCCTCACACCAAGACTTCCAACCTAGAGGGCAACAATGAGCAAGTTGGCAGAATACATGCATCTTGGATAGAATCTGACATTATCCTAAAAATTGGTCTTAAGATCAAATTTAACCTTACAAAAGCTGTTCAAGTTTTATAATTATAAATCTTTTCTAATGTCAAATGTCTCTATCGAAGAGAAAATTTCATTGAGAACAACACCACTAGCTTTGTCAACTCAAGGATATTTTCATTATGTTTTTCTGAGGTTTTTTGATAAAATATACATGTCATAAGCTTGGGGCATATGACCTATATTCTCCAACATGAATGGGAATTTGGGAAAACAAGTAATATATAAATAGGGTAATAGGCTAGTGAAATCTTGTAATTATGGTAGTTACGTTATTTTTTATCCATCATAATATGTCAGTTCCTTGGAGATAAAGGAGCAGATGGACTAATGCTAAAAGGTTGAATTTCAGATTTTCTAATATCTATAGAGAAGGTAATAGGTGTGCTGATAATTTGGCTAACTATGGTATTAGAGGTGTTGATTTTATTTGGTGGGAGGGAATTCTCCCTGGTATTTCTTATGATAATTGTTAGAGATAGATTTGGGCTTCCACATTTTAGGCTTTCCAGTGGGTTTTGATTGGGTTTGCCCCTTTTGTATTTTTTTTTCTTTTATATACGGTATCAGGAATGCTGCAAAATACAGCCTATAGTGCTAACCCAGTCGATTTATAGCCTGTATAGTGATGCTTTAGTATTCTTATTTTCATTTTAAATAAATTTATCCTTTATCCATGCAATAAAATTAATTCTACACAACAGTCTACTGAATTCCATCGTGTAATTCAGACTCAGAATCACAGCTTCAATCAAATGTCTCGTCTTTATCTAAATAATTAATTAATGTTTTCATAATCCTAAAGGTAGATTGACAATGCTAAAGCAAAAAGAAGGAATAAGAATCTAACTCTCCGCACTCTTCGTAACACTTACTGCGGTTAAATCTTTTGTCTATAGTTTGCATAGCAACAGAATGAGACCGTGGACCGTGACTTAATCTAATATCAAAAATCAAGAATTTTTAGCATGAATACCCAAGCTACTCAATTATACATGACAATAATTCAAATGTGTTCCACCAAAGAGAACTAGGATTTCTATATTGTTCAATGAAAGCGCTAGAAGTACACACCTCCAAATTGATGTTCCAACCGAGCCACAATGTGTTTCCCATAAGTGTATTTCTTCAAAGCATGAGCATGAATTCTTACATGAGCAAGTAACATTGCTTGCTGTTTTTCAGAACAGATATCAATGACCTTCTGGACCACATAATTAGCAAATTGATCTTTCATCATTATCTACAATGAAAACCAAAATACAACAAAGTAAGTGTACATACCCCAAAGGTGTATGCATTAATACAACACAATCCAATTAACTAGTAACTTAGCATTGTTCATGCCAGAAGTAACGCAAAAAATTCAACATTTGTAATGATTTAGAATTTTGAGGAGATCAACATCAAATATGAAAGATCAATGTAGAATTAGAAATAGACCGAAAGGGTTGTTTGGC